CGCTATATAAATAAACTGAATTGAATTGAAATTGAATTATATTCGAGCAGTCTTTAGTTATTCTCCATTCCTTGTGCTTTTTTCCGTTCACCTTGGCTTCCCTCTAGTTAGTTCCACTCACACCTGCTCCATATTCAGCTCATTAGTCCATCCTTTGTTCTGCTCCCCATATATACACCACCTGTGCAGTCAGTCAGTGCTGGTTCCTTGTTGTTAGTTGCTTCCTCGTCTTTGGCTCCCCAAGTGAGTTTTCCCTGATGTTTTTTTTATTTTTTTTTATTTGGCAGTTTTGGATATCTGCTTCAGTTTTTTATTAAATCAACAAGAACTCATCTCTGCTTCACTCATCTCTGCATTTGGGTCCTCAAGCAACTCCACCCCCATTGTTGAAAGTTTTATTTTTACCATTGTTAGCGACTCTGTCAGTAACCTGTGATGTCACTGTTTAATCAACTTATCAGCCACTTTCGGTTAATGCAGTATGTGCTTTTCAGTGGCGGCCTTTGCTCTCTGAAACGGGGGAGGCTCGATGGGGTTAAGAAAAGCCCAATGTAACGTATTTTATTATCAAATGTTGAAACACAGACAGGAAATCACTAAAATTGTCGAAAACAGCTGTTGTGAAGCGCTCTGCAATAAAAAAAACTCCAGAAAGCATGGCAAGAGTTCAGCACAGGCTGAATAATCGCTTTTCCCTCTCTACCCATGAGGAAAACCTCCTCGCTGTCTGGCCACTGTCAGCCAAAAATCCCCTAAGAGGTTTAGCCTCACAGGAAGTGACGTATTTTGGTGTGTTATCCAATCAGGGCTCTATTTTCTCAATGCTGACCTCAGTAGGTTTAGTCCCAAACCTCAACAGAAATTTCTTAGAGAAGCTGACAGGCAGTGCTTGTCCTTTTTTTGTGCCAAATTTTAAAAACTAACCAGATCATCTGTTTATAACTAACATCCTAATATAATGATGATGGTGATGTAAGAATTCCTTAAAGTTAAGCTGTCTTTAGACGGAAGAAAGCCTCTTTGGTTTGATCAAATTAGTAATTTCCTTCATTTTCAATATGAAAATAAAGTAGTAATAAAAAATAAAGACGCTAAAGACCAAACACCTTTTAAATGCACAATACTTGTAGAATGAAATAGTTGTTAGACACCACTGCTTCCTGAATAGATGGAAACTTGCCATCCCTGAAGTCCAGTGATCTGTGTTACCTCTGAATTGTTCAGTGTAAGGTATTTATAACTGAATTAAATGAGAGGACTTAATAATGCTAGATAACTTGGAAACAGGAGCATTTTCTTTCTTTTCTCACCTTAGGAGAGTTTACCATATGATTTATTCAAAACTAACCTGGCAAGCTGGAATGATCATAGCACTGTAGGTTTAGTTTTACACTTTATCAATCTGGGACTGATCCCATTTATTCCAGTCAGGGAAAATAGGAGCATTCAGCAAATCTTTTTAGCTGGTTTGGCAAAGTGATACCAAAGTTCGTTTTTAGCCAATCACAGTAACAAATGAAAATGTTAGCAGCAGCATGGACCATGAGAAACCACAACAACACGTTCCTCTTTCTAAAATGAAATTATAGCTTTTATCTAGGGATGCACAATATTGGGATTTTGGCCGATATCCGATATGCCGATATTTGAAAACTCATGTAGCCGATAACCGATATCGATACCGATGTTAAAGCTGGACAAAAATAAGTAGTCATTG